CTAAATGTCAAAAGGAAACAATATCTTCTTTTTCAATTAGTTCTTACTTTTGTGCTTACACACTAAGAGACATCACCCAATTCCAATTGATACTGATCCTGAACTTCTCCCTATCGAGTCTGAATATAGGGGGAAGTCAAGACCCTGTATGTCAGACACTCTCTGGACAGTGTTTGTCCCTACCTCCAACCCCACATGTCTCTTACCAGCCCCCTGGGACTTACAGCACCTTTGTTCCAATCTGAGCTTTCTCCACGACAGGCTGTAGCTGCACGTTTCACCACATAGACACCAACTCCCACCTGCCATACTTGGGAATCAAGCTATACACAGACACTGAAGGATGTTTCTTAATTGCCAAAAAAGCAAAACCAAATGCAGGCAGAGTTTAATAAAACATAAAATACACATCTCTGATGTATATGAAGCCCAACTTCCCTCGTCTGCAGTCCAATTTCCATAGCAGAGATGGCCTTATACCAAAGAAAATCATATTTCCTGTCAAGCAGAGATCCCAAGAACCCCCAGAGCACTCCCTGACCCAGACTCTGTCCATTTTCACTCCCAGCTACTCACACCCTCAAGTCATGAGCTCCCTCGATTCACAGAGGGAAGAAAAGAACCAAAAGAAATGAATCACCCCCTTTTTCACAGCCAAATCCACACTCAGCCCGGTGTATCTGGGTTACAGGTACATCTTCAGGTAGGCTCTGCAACATCTAGATCCACTCACTTCTCTTTCTCGTCCAACACGTGACAGCTTGGGTGCAATTGTCCAGGCTTCCTCTTCTACTCAAGGGAGAGAAATTAGTTCTCTCAACTGCCTGTCCACCAGGTACCCCTCCAGAAAGTCTCCCATCAGCCCAGGGTCACATTTCCCTCTCCCATGTCAGGGTTTCATCTACCCTCATGTATCTTGGAGGTGGTGGCCACGAATTTGTGATCAACTGCATCAACTCTGGACTGAAGATATTAGGCAAAAATTTCAACATTTCCAGAAAACTCCTTGGTGCAATCAGTGTGTAAGAGGAGTTCATTTTCAGAACTTTGACATTGTTCTGTACATTCCCGTAAATATTTTCATAGGCCATGGACAAGAACGAGCAAGCTGATAACACTTTCTCTCCACTATGTATAGACAGATTGATAAAACTTGTTCTTTTGGACAGGTGACATTTGAGATTGATCAAGTAGCCCCTTATTTGATTCCTCCTCACCTTCAGCTGTTTTCCTCCAGATGCCTGTGATAAGGCACAATGGCTTAGGAGAACTTGGTGAAAGATGAGGCAAAGAGGACATGAAGTATCTCAGCTCTCTCACCATCTACGTGTGATAGAAATAGGACTGGGCAGTGCAGTCCTGGATAGATTCAGGTTTATTTTACTGCTGTCTTCTCTGCTAGGGATGGACATCATTGGATGTGGAGGTGATCTCCATGAACAGCTAGGTTCTGCTGACAGGCCTGGTGTGAAAATTTTTTGTCGTTTCCTTGACTGCATCATCGAGGGGGTGGGTAATGTTGGAGATAAAAACCAACAGTCTGAGAAGGTAAACACTTGTGTAGAGACCACAGTGTGATGTGCCTGGTGTTCCTGGACTGCTCTCCATCTCCTGGATAGAGAAGGGACAGACCTTGCCACGTTGCAGTGGTGGCAGTCAGTGGCTTGCACAGCAGCCCCGAATCTGTCTGCAGTGCTGTGCGGGGGGTCTGTCACAGCCCCGATCTGGAGGGAGATTGCTTGCATGTATAGTACCAGTGCTGTCCCAGCCAACCCCATGGAGCTGAGTGAGAGAGCCTTGGCACCTCACGTAACACTGGAAGGCCCTGTTTGTCATTAAACACCATAAATGCCCTAAGATTGGTGAAGCAATGTGGAGGTGTTCATGAGACCACTGTTGTGGGGATCAAGTAAATTCAGCTGATGGAAAAGACAGAGAGAAACTGAGCTCTCCCAAATGTACATGACTGTATCACTATTTGCTCAGAGTAATCCTTGCACAGGCTGCCCAGAACAAAACAGACAGTGGCAGAGTCACTTGTACTAAATGTGGGCATCTGCTGTCATTCCTGTTGGCCAAAGATGGTCCCCTTCAGATGCCAAGAAGATGCCCCCAGATGCTGTCCTGTCTCTCAGCATTGCTCCATAAGAGCTTGCAGTCTTCCGCACATTTCTTGGAACACCTCCTGACCCTCAGATGTCTCTAACTGTGTCTGAACAGCTCACTCCTGATCTCCATCTCTATCATGATCTGAGATGAGAAAATGAGCTCAGCTACAGATCCCTCCCAATAAGTGTCTGGATGTCCTATGTAATGATAGGACAATAAAACCTGATTATATCACCCAAATTGTAATTTTTAAGGAGAAATGGCAGTGCTGGAAAGTAGTGCCTCTCCCAGATGAAGGAGGGATTATCAGTGATTGCATCAGGCTGTGTCACAGCAGGTTCCCTGGAGCCCCAGGGACAGCTGGAGGGAGCCCAGAGGGGCCACAGCAAGTGGCACCTTGGGCTGTTGCTGTGGTGCTGAGCTGGGCCGGGCTCCTGGGCCGGAGGGAGCTCCTGGCAAGTGGGCAGCGCTGCAGAGAGACAGCTCTGCCCAGGAGCAGCTCCTCTGCAAAGCGCAGCAGGGCTGGGGGCACTGCCTGCAGGCACCCAGGGCAGAGCAGCGAGGCACACACAGCTTCAAGGCAGCCTGGGCTGGGAGGCTGCTGAGAGCTCCGAGGAGGAGAAAGCAGTCAGGGCCCTGGCCACAGTAAGTCTGGGGGTGCAGGGCAATGCAGCTGCAGCTCGGGGAGGGATCTGGGGAAGGCGGCAGAGCCGCCAGGAATCTGCCTCCTGCCTAGAGGAGGAGGAGGAGGAGGAGGAGGAGGATCTGCTCCCGAGCAGCGCTTCCCTGGTGCCCCCTGCAAGGGCCAGGGCATGAGGGCTGCCTTCTGGCGGGGCCGGCTGCAGGGGTGTGCAGCCGGGTGTGCAGGCAGGGGTGCCCAGGGCTGTCCTTCCCAGCAGGGTCCCTGCACCCCAGGGGGCTGTGTGCTGGGGCAGGGACTCTGCCGCCTGCCAGGGTCAGCACTCAGCCTGCCCGGGGAGCTCCCCACGGCGCTGTGGGGAGAAGCTGTGGGGGGAAGGAGAGACCCCCGCCAGGGCAGGCTCCTTCTGCTCTCCAGAGAGTGCTGATGCGTGGATCAGGAGTGCAGATTAGCCCCACCACAATGCCAGAGGCAGCTTTTCTAGAAGTACATCAAGGCAGGGTCTACGTGGAAGGAAAGGGGCTTTCTAGGATCTGTGTCTACAGTTTCCTGATGTATTTGGGAGGCTGTGAATAGTAGTGGAGCTTTATGTTTGACCCAGACTCCTACAGCATTAGAGTGAGAGCTGTGAAGTTCTGTGAGGAAACTGCTTAAGTCCTTTCACCTGTTGCTTTGCCTACTGAAAGACCCATCACTGCTGTGGTGTCTTCTTACAACCTGACAACACATGGCTATCCCTGGGCAGTGTCCTGCTGCCAGGAGGGGTCCGCAGAGCAGAGCTGAGCACAGGGCGGGTGGGATGGGGGCTGGCAGCACTGACAGGGAGGAGATAAGGGGACAGAGAATCAGCTCCAGGCAGGGACAGCTCCAGGCACCAGAGGCTTTGGCAGGGAGGGACAGAAACAGGCTGACAGCAATGGCTCAGGGGTGGTATTTGGGCACTGCCCTATTAGTCCTTCAGTGAAGGAGATTTTCCCTAAGAAGCCCCCCTGGTCTCCTCCCCCAGCCAGCACAGCCTCTGCCCTCCAGGCCCTGGGCTCCAGGGCAGGAGCTGCCTCCTCTGCAGCCAGAGCTGCAGCAGAGGAGACTCCCCCGAGAGCCCATCTGTCTCTCCCTGGCCTTGCCTCCCTTGGCAGAAGCATTGGGGCATTTATCCTTGTTTCTCCACCTCCCTCTGCTGCTGCTGCTCTGGTTTGCAGGCTCTCTGGGGATGGGGCTTTCAGCTGCAGCTCAGCCACTGGCCCTGCAGGTCCTGCCATGCAGATGTGTCCATGGGAGCAAGGTGCCCCAGCTCCCTTCTAGCCTGGGGCTCTCTGGGAAAGGCTCTCCATGGGCTGCGGAGAAAGATGAGCATTTTGCCAGACACCCCATCTGCAAGCAATCTAAAAGCTCAAAGATCTTTCCTGGGGAGGGGAGATTTAATGTGGATTCCTCTGCTCTCAGCAGCATGGAGTTTCCTTTCAAGGGCAGAGCTGGCTGTGACCCTCCTCCAGATTAAAGAGGTGAAAGCCCAGGGCAGCTGAGAGCAAGCCTGATGGACAGAGTGGCTCTCCTCACTCCGCACCAAGGGTCTGTACGTTTGCATCCCCGGGATCTCCAGCACATTGAGCGTAACAGAAATGTCAATGCTGTCTGCCTTCCAAATGCACTGCACAGGTAGGACAGGGCAAGAGGGGCAAAAGCAAGAAAAGCAGTGCCACACAGCTCTGCTCTGCAGCCGGGTGCCCTGGGAGGGACAGTGCTGAAATCTCTGTGATTTCATGAGGGGATTTAAGGAGCGATCACTGCGGGTTCCTCTCTGCCTGTTGGGGCACAGCAGGACTGACTCCTGCAGAGCCCACAGCAGAATCCCTTGGTCCCCACTGCACCCTCAGCCAGAAAACAGCAGACATCTAACCAGGGATTGGCAGGAAGGCACTTCTGGAGTGAGAGAAATGAGTAGGTGGGTGTTCGGTGAGAAATTAAGCAAGTTTTCATCAGAGAAAGCAGTGCTAACCAGTCAATGTCTTCTTCTCCTTAGTCAGGCCCTCATTACCCAAAGATGGAGCAAATTTTCAACAGCAGCTCAGTAACAGAATTTCTCCTCCTGGCATTTGCAGACAGACGGGAGCTGCAGCTCCTTCACTTCTGGCTCTTCCTGGGCATCTACCTGGCTGCCCTCCTGGGAAACAGCCTCATCATCACCGCCATCACCTGCGACCACCACCTCCACACCCCCATGTACTTCTTCCTCCTCAACCTCTCCCTCCTTGACTTGGGCTCCATCTCCACCACTCTCCCTAAAGCCATGGCCAATTCCCTCTGGGACACCAGGGACATCTCCTACATGGGATGTGTTACACAGTTCTTTTTCTTTCTCTTCTTGATCTCAGCAGACTTTTATCTTCTCACCATCATGGCCTATGACCGCTACGTTGCCATCTGCCAACCCCTGCACTACGGGACCCTCCTGGGCAACAGAGCTTGTGTCCACATGGCAGCAGCTGCCTGGGGCACTGGGCTGCTCAATTCTCTCCTGCACACTGCCAACACATTTTCCCTACCCCTCTGCGGAGGCAATGCTGTGGACCAGTTCTTCTGTGAAATCCCCCAGATACTCAAGCTCTCCTGCTCAGGATCCCACCTCAGGGAAGTTGGGCTCCTTGTGGTTAGTGCCTGTTTAGCATTTGGGTTTTTTGTTTTTATTCTGCTGTCCTATGTGCAGATCTTCAGGGCCGTGCTGAGGATCCCCTCTGAGCAGGGATGGCACAAAGCCTTTTCCACGTGCCTCCCTCACCTGGCCGTAGTCTCCCTGTTTATCAGCACTGCCATCTTTGCCTACCTGAAGCCCCCCTCCATCTCCTCCCCATCTCTGGACCTGGTGGTGTCATTTCTGTACTCGGTGTTGCCTCCAGCAGTGAACCCCCTCATCTACAGCATGAGGAACCAGGAGATCAAGGATGCAGTATGGAAACTGATGACTGGATGATTTTCAAAAGCAATAAACTGCTTATCACCTTCCACTAATGAATCATATTGTAATTCAGTACAGGACAAGCCCTTTTTTTGGTTTGTTTTGTGTGGTTTTCGTTGTTGGTTTTAGGTTTATTTACTTTATTTTACTTTACATGATATTGTCCATAAGGAAATGTCATTGTTTGTGCCATTTTTAATTACGCATCTATCAACTTCTGTATGAACAAGAGACCGTGTAAATAAGGAGCCCTGCCCTGTGTGTTTAAAAACAATCATGAACCCTGCTGTGACTTTCCTGTGTTCCTTCTTTTGAGACCTACCCTGGAGGTACATGGACAGTGTCTGTATGCAGAGATGGAGGGGAAAAGCATCCGGGCAGAGCAGCACTGCCAGGGAGCACCACTGCTTGGTCTCATTTATTCTCTCTTTCCTCCTCTGCCCTTGCACTGGTGAAATGCCTGAGTGCAGCTTGGTCCCCGTCCTCCTGGGTGGGAGCTCTGTGACTGCAGGCAGGGACAGGCAGTGGGCACCTCTGGGACAGAGCGGGCCTCCACAACAGCGTTTCCATGAAGAAAGGTGATCTTCTCAGGGCACTGCCCGAGGGCTCAAGTTTTGCTTCAAAGCTGCTCTCATGAACATGCCCAGGAAAGTGGCCTGCAGATTAAAATACCATTGAACTGATTGACATCCCCTGGGAAACCCCCTGAATGCAGCACTGGGAGGTGCTTCCCTGAACCCGGTCCCTGTGTCCATTCCTCGTGCCTCGGGGCATCTCCCACGGGTGCAGAGCAGGGCGAGCACCGCAGGGCTGAGGTGCCTCCCAGCCTCTGGGGGTGGCAGCAGGAGTTCAGAGAGACACTATGGCTCCTGCAGTGCACTGCCTCTGCGTGTGCAAGGGAAGGACTCGTGTCTCTGAACAGCCCTGTGTGTAAGAGGAGTGCCTGAGGCCAGCTCAGCTGTGGGCACCTGACAGAGCCCTGACACTTCTGTGTGTGACTGCAGGAACAACCCCACCTTCCCAGTGAGCTCCATCTCGGCCGCCTTGGACAGGCTCATTGCAAGTGCTCCTGTCTGCTCTGTCACCCTCCCCTGGGATTCTGGAGTGTGCCCAGAGAGGCCATGGGCCTTATTGCAGACTTTCAGTACTTCTTGGGGTCTTATAGGAAAGACGGGGACAGACTATCTAAAAAGGCCTGTAGCAATGGGATAAGGGATAACGGTATTGAACTTAAAGAGAGTAGATTCCGACTAGATATAAGGAAGAAAGCTTTTACAATGAGGTGGTGAAACACTGGAACACATTGCCCAGAGAGGTGGTAGATGCCCCGTCCCTGCAAACATTCAAGGTCAGGTTGGACAGGGCTCTAAACAAATCGATCTAGTTGAATCTCTCCCTGTTCATTGCAGGGGGGTTGCAATAGGTGACCTTTAAAGGTCCCTTCCAACCCAACCTATTCTGATTCTGATTCTATGAACTCTCTCAAAGGAAATGTCTTCCCCCCAACCTTTTCCATCCCACAGGCATGCTCAATATCACACCCTCCTAAAACAGTGTTTGCAGCATTGGACACCATAGGCCTGCCCATGTCCTCCCTACTGAGATAAAACAGAAGCAGAAAGCATTTATCCCTGCAGGTGGAACATTATTGTGCAACCTGGGTGCAGACCTTGTCTTTCCTGAGAGCTTTCCTCAGGTCCTCCCTGACCTCCCTGTTCCGCAGGCTGTAGACGAGGGGATTGACCAGGGGCGTGAGGACAGTGGCAGAAGAGGGAGAGCACTTTGTTGAGCTGCCTCAGCGGGGCTGTTCTGGGCAGCAGGTAGACAGTGAGGAGGGTGCAGGAGAAAAGAGAGATGACAATGAGGGGAGGGGAGCGGGAGGAGAAGGCCTTCTGCTGCCCATGCTGGATGGGATCCTCAGGATGGCAGCTATGATGCACACATGGGACGCAAAAGCAAACAGGAAGGGGAAGACAACGCTCAGGAAAGACAGGATGAAGGATGTGAGTGTGACCACGCTGGTGCCACTGCAGGCAATCTCCAGCAGAGAGGTCACAGAACAAGTGGCCAGTTGCCCTGGGGCCACAGAACTTCAGCTGGGATAAGAAGACTGGGACTGTCGCACACACCAACATAGCCAAGGTGCAACCTCCAGCTGAAGGCAGACCTTCCAGGTCATGAAGCCTGCAGAGAGCAGGGGCTGGAACGTGCCCAGATACCAATCATAGGCCATCATGGCCCGCAGGTAACACTCGGCAGTTGCAAAGCAGCCAGAGCAGTGGAGCTGAGCCATACAGCTGTGAGCAGAAATGGTCCCGTCCCCATTCAGCAAGCTGGCCAGCAGCCGGGGCAGGAGGGTGGAGCTGTAGCAGGTCTCCAAGGAGGGCAGATTGCCCCAGAAGAAGTACGTGGGGGTGTGCAGATGCTGCTCTGACACCATCAAAACAATGATGAGGATGTGCCCAATCACAGACATGATGAGTGATAGGAGGAAGAGTGGAGTCTGGATTGAGGGCACATTCCCCATTCCCCTCAGCAGGAACTTCGTGAGGGATGTCCGACTCCCCTATTCCCATTTTTCCATACAGGTTTGTTTCTCTTTCTTTCCCCACTTACCAGGAAGGAGGCCTGTGATAAAACAGCTGCATTTCTGCACTAAGTGGAAGAAGAGATTGAATGGAAATACGGCTTAAAAATATGCAAAGAAACAAAAATTCCATATTCTTAGCATTGTTTATAGTATATTTTTGTCTCTCTCTAACCTCGAAGAAGGTACCGGGGTTCTTCAGGACCGGACAAACCCACTTGTCCCAAGAGCACTCCCTCTGACCACAGGGCTGCCTTGCCCCATGGAGCTGCCTCTTCCTCGTGCTGGAATGCAAACATCATGTGCTTTTGCTCACATTTTGACATCCTGCTTTACTGTGCTCGGGGGTTCCTCAACATGACCAGAATAGCTGTTTAGAACTGAGATCCTCTGTGCTCTGACAAGGAAAACCAGTGCCATGATTTGAAATAAATTGTTTCTGTCAAAAGATCAAGGCAGATGTCCTTTCTCCAACCGGGAGAAGGCTGAGCGCAGTGCTGGGTGAGTGGTCTCAGCTCTCAGAAACGCTGCCCTTCTGAGGAGAGCATTCCTGCCCTGAGCAGGCCAAGTTCTTGCATTGACCAGGAGCAGGTCAGGAGTTACCTGCTCAGAAAAAGGGACTGTTCAATGAGATCATGACAGAGGATGCTTGAGCCCACACTGTGTGTGAGACAGTAAAAGAAAAGGTGGGACAAAATCTATGCCCAGGACATGCCTGAGTGAACAGCCAGGGAAAGTGCCTGCCTGAGAAGCAGCCTCACCAGCTGTGCTCCTTGAAATACATATTGCTCTCAGCATTGTCAAACCCACCTCCTGGCTGTGATGGTTTGCTTCTGGAAGCAACCAGCTTTAGCAGAGCTGACAAGGATGAGTAAAGCCCCCAGCCCTCCCCACTGGATGAGTGAGAGTCCATGTCAGAAAGCTGAGGGTCTGAGCTTGTGGAACGGTGAGGGAAGGAGACAAGATGGAGAAACTGGGAAAGAAGAGAGCCCTGTGGGAGGAGAAGGGCTCAGGTGATATGGCCCCAGAGACCCTGCACTGACTTTTCCCCCATGCCAACTGAAGTGGGTAAGTGCCAGGGAGGGCTCCAACAGATCCCAGGCCAGCTGGAACTCAGCACCACCAGCCCCTCCCCAGCATCTCTGCTGGAAGTTACTGGGTCTCAGGGTATCTGGGGAAGGAGGGAGCTGGGCTGGGGACATGTGCAGCACAAGACAGGGCTGAGACTCAGCTCTCACTCACACACTTTCACTGCACAAACACCCACAGCAAAATCGGCAGTTCCCTGACTCGGGACATCCAGCACCCACCTGCAATGCTCAGCATGAAGGGTTGGCCTCTGTGCTGACGGTGCCTGGGAACAAAGACCTGGGGCCTCACTCTCTGCCTCTACCCCACCACATCTTCCCTTCCGCGATCTCTCTGCAAACCCTGACTCAGATCTAATGCCCTGCTCTACCCTTGCCCTTTTCTTCCCACAGATCAATAAGTGATGCACCAGCAGCAAAAAAAAAAAAAAAAAAAATTCCCCCTGCTTTGTACTGTGTGCTGGAGCTTATAACACCAACAATTCTTTCAGTGACCCAGGCACAGCTCAGCTCTCCCCAGGCACTGCAGGGAGGAAGCATTGCTAAGCTAGTTCTCAAATCAAGCTGCAGCTTCTGAACTGCTGGAAAGGCTGGAATCTGTTGTGGCAAGGCCTGCCTTTCCTGACAACCCTGAATACCTTGAACTCCAGGTGAGGCTTCTCTAGAAAGGAGACTCAGGGAAGGAAATCATCAGGATTCAGCAAAATTCCTGACAGAAACCCGTGAGAGTTACCCAGAGTATAAACCCCATCACCTCCTTGAATTAGACACTAAAAATCTCCACACACTGGGCTAGTTTTTCAAAACCAGACTTTTAAATTAGAAATACAGGCTAAATACCTCAGAGAGACAAGTTTCAAAGAGAAACAAAAAATAGGTGAAGCCGTATCATCTGGATTTACAAATTCTCTATCAGCAGAAAGGAAGTCCCACAGCCTATGGGATGTTTCATTAGCTGGCCCTACAGAAATTTGGTTTCTTGGGCCTCTTGGCTCCAGCCTGCTGCATTCACATTGCTGGCAAGGGGACAATTTCAAGTTCAAGCATCAAATTTTTCCCCATCCTGCCTGGAGATGCAGAACAGCTCTGTCACACATCACGCAGCATCAGAATGAAGATGGAGGTAGTGTGAATTTAAATGGTTTGGTCTCAAATGAAATCTCAAATCGTGATCTTGCATGAAAACACTTTTTTCAACTAGGCATAAGTTACACAACTGTGAGTTCAGATCTAGTTTTCAGAGTTTCTCACATCTCTCGATAAAGAGGGTATGGTGCTGGGGA